ATCTCTGCGGGATGGGCCAGGCACCTCGGGCACGGCGTCGGCCCGCCGCGCCCAGGCAGACCACCCCCACCGCCTCGCAGACCTGGAGGGCGAGCCACCGAACGACGGACGGCGACGCAGACCACACACGTCCAGCACCTCACCTGACCGCGTCCGCAGCGCATGGACCGAGCGAGCGCCCCCACTGGGAAAATCACCTGCCTCCAACTTCGGCCGCCAGCCATCGTTACTTCGAGGAGCTAAGTCTGCCACGCGCGCTGCAAGACAGCATGAGGCACCTCACCAGCGTGAGCCATGCAAGCCCAATTGTCAATAGGCCCGACCATAACCACACAAGCAGGATGAGCGGCGGGCGAGTCGTCCACCTGCGAGGCGATCAAACGGGCGCCGCCACTCGGGACGGTCGCCCATCCTTACTTCACATGCGCTGTCATCTTGGCGATATCGCGCGGGGCGGCTCTCGGGATCCCGAGGACGCAGGTGATGGCAGGTCCATCTGCAGCCCGAGCCACCCTTTTGAAGTTGGGCCCTAAGGAGGCCAGTCGCCGAAAGCGACGCCCACGCTTGGCCACCCTGCGCACGCGGCGACGTAGAACCAAGAATTGAATAGGCTTCCCCATGGACGCCTCCAGGCCCAACACCTCCAGCCACGACTGCGCGCGGAAGCCGCACCTGCAACGCCGACGCTCGACGCGCTGCCCAGGCGCCCCGTCGGAGGTCGTGAGCAGCGACTTGGAAACAGGCAGGCCCAGGTCCTGCAAGGAGTCGCACATCAACTTGATAACATCCACGGACAACTCCTCCAGCTCGCAAAGCTGGCTGATCAGCTGCACGGCAATGTCATCGGCGAAGGAAGCAGCGAAGCCCAACTTGGCGACGAGGGCGCGCGGGGCCAGGTGCTCGACATAGGCGACAATGGAGAATCCGCCGGCCCCCTTGTGGAGCCACCAGGCCGTAGGCCGAGGGTTCGCAATTTCTTGTACCAGTAGCAGCTTCCAGTTTCCACTACTACAGTTCTGCTTCTTGCTGCTTACTGTTCCTTGTTGATGGACCGCGCGATGGGGGGGGGCCCAAACGGGCAGGTTTAGCACGCCCTGAGCGTGTGCTCTGAATTGCTGGGGCGGGTAAAAATTCACAACCCCCACGCAGATCGGCGGGGCGAGGGTGCAAAAACACACAGGATTTGCTACATTTCTGAAATCCGGCGGCACCCCTCACGCATATCGGCAGGGCGGGGTCCAAAAACACACGGTTTGCCACATGTCTAAAATTTGCTGGCACCCCTCGCGCAGATCGGCGGGATCAGGGTCCAAAAACACATGGGATTTGCGACATTTCTGAGATTCGGTAGCACCCCTCACGCAGATCGGCGGGGTCAGGGTCCAAAAACACACGGGATTTGCAGCAGTTCTGAAATTCGCTGGCACCCCTCACGCAGATCGGCGGGATCAGGGTCCAAAAACACAAGGGTTGCCACATTTCTGAAATCCGGTGGCACCCCTCACACAGATCAGCGGGGTCAGGGCCCAACAACACACAGGATTTGCAACATTTCTAAAGTTCGATAGCACCCCTCACGCAGATCGGCGGGGTCAAAATCCAAAAACCAACGGGACTTGCCACGTTTCTGAAATTCGGTGGCACCGCTCACGCGGATCCGTAGGATCATGGCCCAAAAGCACTAGGGACGTGCCACATGTTTTAAAAATCCGGTGGCACCCCTCACGCAGATCGGCAGGGTCACGACGTCTTACCAATCGCCAGGTGTGGTAACCCCTCTGGCCATCTATCGGTTTTGCTCATTACGAGTCGGCCCCGCATGAAGTTCCGATACTGCTTCACGACAGCGCCTAGGCCTCATGATATAGCTCTTGCATAGCGCATTATCCGAGAGAGGGGGCCGGCGGCCGGGGGCGAAGCCCTTGCGGATATCACGAGGAGCTGCAAAACGGCCATGGCGAACTGACAGCCAGGAAGCACACCATGATCCACGACCACCGCACAGCACGCAGCCTGCAGCCACGCCAGCCGCCGCGGAGCACGACGCATGGCCAGGGCGCATTCGAGCAACTGCCTAGGGAAGGAGTGCTGGCGCGCAGATTCAGCGAGCCCCCCCCCAGCGCACACGATCGAAGCACTTCTCGATGTCCAGAATGGCTGCGACCACTCCATCTCCATCTGCCAGGGCCGCCTCGGTATGCAGAAGAGCGCGCGAGGCCACATCCAGCGTAGTCTTGCCTGCCGCCAACGCGAAGTAGGGTCGCTGGTGCTCTGGGAGCCAGGCTCGCAACTGGCCGCCCCGAACCCGTGACCACACCTAGTAGGCGGCCTGCAGCAGCGCAAACTGCCGCCAGTCGCCAGCCTCATGTCGACTTGGCCAGCAGCACGATGTGCACGGCCATCAGCTGGGTCGGCCACCTCTCCCAGTGCTCGGCAAGCCACAAGATGTAGACGAGCAGGGAGAGAGTAGCATCGCTGAGGAGGCTGAGCGCCCGCGGCGCCAGCTTGCCAGCGCCCTGCCCCGCGTGCCAGGTGAAGCTCTCGGCGGCCTTGCGGACCTCGGCGATGCGCGGGATGGCCAGAGCCGCTTCCCGTAAGGACGCGGTAGCGCGGGCGATGTCGTCCGTCTCGCAGAAATCGCTCTGGTGTCTGAGCTCGAAGCGCTGCTCGCCGTCACCCTCACCTGCCACCTGCGCGGCCGATGGGACAGCGGAGACAGGCGTAGCACCCCAAATCTTCGCCCATCCGTCCGTCTGATCGTCACGTGCTGAGCGTCGGTAGTGCGCTGCCCATGCCGAGGGACATGCGAGCGGGGAAGCCCAGAGGGTCTGGTGAAGGAGAACAGCGGCTTCACCCTGTCCTCCTCGCACGCTTTGGCCCAGCCTGCGCAAGATTTTCGCCGAGCCCGCATGGCCTCCAGCTGCAGCTGCTGGGCAAAGTTCTGCGGCCAATCCACGACCACCCGCACGGCCTCGCAGCCCACGGCTTGCATGTCAGTCAGGTCCACGCCGGGCACACAGTTTTTTGGTCGGCGGGTCGGGAGCGGGCCCCTTCCGGTTAAGAGCTAGGCGGGGCGCGCGAAGCCCTAATTGGGGAGACAGGGCGCGGGTGGGCGGGGCCTCACGCGGCCGGAGGGTGCAGAGTACATGCGGCGTCGAAGATCTTGCACAGGACAAGGTACGCCATGGACAGGAGCCGGGGGCGAAGTCCCGGAGGGAGAGTGACGCCGGGCACGCAGGCGGGATGATACCCATCAGCCACGACCAGGCTGCTGTTTCCCGCGGCTGCCCCAGGCACTGCTGCGCCAGGACGACAAAAACGGTCAGCGAGCGCAGGGTCAAGCACGACAGCATGGCACGACCGCGGAGGCCCTGGCGCTGCTGCGCCAGGACGGGGCCGCGGCCGGCACGAAGTGGCGCAGCCAAGAGGGGACTCACCGAGCAACTCCACGCGCCAGTCCCTCGACCACCCCACCGCTCCACTGTCGCATGATCACCTTCACCTGACGCAACTCGCGCCGAAGAGCACGGGCCCACTCCACTATCGTGGTCGTCGCCGTCGACCTCCACCACGGCCCAAGTACTGTCAAAAGTCATGGCAGCAGCGGCTGCCCCTCCAGGCCCTTCGTCGAACTCGTCGTGCGTCGCGGCCATGGACGCCACGTGCCTCGCAGACTGCTCGCGCCACTCCTGCTCGCTGGTCTGCGCCAGCCCGTGCACGTTGGCGTGGTAGCGCGCGCGGACGTCGCGCCTAGCGTTCCAAGCATCCTCGCAGAAATCCTGCACCGAGGCCTCCCGAGGCCCTCCGCGCCCCGCGAAACGCCGAAACGCCCCCCCCCCCCCCCCCCCGTCTCCCTCCCCCTCCCCACCTCCCCCATCCTCCTGCTCCTTCTCCCCGCCCTCCCCATCCTCCTCCTCCTCCTCCTGCCCGCCCTCCCCCTCCTCCCCTCCTCCTCTCCTCCTCCTCCTCCTCCTCCTCCTCCTCTCCTCCTCCTCCTCCTCCCCCTCCTCCCCCCTCCTCCTTCTCCTCCTCCTCCTCCTCCTCTTCTTCTTATTCGTTGTCTTAGTCTCCTTCTGATTAGTACTCTTATTACTACCATTATTATGATTGGTCGCATTCGTTATTCTTCTTATTAGCATTATGATTCGCACTAGTATTGCAATTATGTATATTATTATTAGTAGTATGAATATGATCAGTATTAGTATTAGTATTCGTCTGATGCTTCGTCGTAGTCTTCTTCTTCTTTCTCCTCTTCCTCCTCCTCCTCCTCCTACTCCTCCTCCTCCTCCTCCTCCTCATCCTCCTCCTGCTCCTACTCCTCCTCCTCCCCCCTCCTCCTCCTCCTCCATTTCCTCCTTCTCCTCCTCTCCTCCTCCTCCTCCTCCTCCTCTCTCCTCCTCCTCCTCCTCCATCTCTCTCTCCTCCTCCTCCTCCTCCTCCTCCTCCTCCTCCTCCTCCCTCCTCCTCCTCCTCCTCCTCCTCCTCCTCCTCCTCCTCCTCCCCCTCCTCCTCCTCCTCCATTCTTCCTCCTCCTCCTCCTCCTCCTCCTCCCTCCTCCTCCTCCTCCATCTCCTCCTCCATCTCCTCCTCTATCTCCTCCTCCATCTCCTCTTTCCTCTCCTCCTCCTCCCTCCTCCTCCTCCTCCTCCTCCCCTCCTCCGCCTCCGCCTCCTCCGCCTCCTCCTCCCCCTCCTCCTCCTCCTCCTCTCCTCCTCCTCTCTCCTGCTCCTCTCCCCTCTCCTCCTCCTCCTCCTCCTCCCTCCTCCTCCTCCCCTCCTCCTCCTCTCCTCCTCCCCTCTCTCCTCCTCCTCCTCCTCCTCCTCCTCCCTCCTCCTCCTCCTCCTCCTCCTCCTCCCCTCTCCTCCTCCTCCTCCTCCTCCCTCTCCTCCTCCTCTCCTCCTCCTCCTCCTCCTCCTCCTCCTCCTCCTCCTCCTCCTCCTCCTCCGCGTCCTCATACGTGCGAAAACGCCCCCCCCCCCTCACCCCCCGCCCCCGGCCGGAGGTGCTGGGCCCATGCGGCGGAGCTCTGGGCGTCGCCGAGGAGCTGCCGCCGCTCGACCTGTGCGGCGTCGCGGGGGGGCGCGGAGGGCACGGTGCGCGCGCGCGCGCGGAGGGCGTCCGCTCTACACCAATACCGATCCTGGCCAGGACCACCCTGGGCCCAGAATGGGCCTGGCCAGGATCGGTGCATGTGCATACTTCTCTTCGCACGACTCTCAGCCCTCGACCGAGGAGAGTATCTTTTATTCGCGGCCATACCAGGCGTTATGGGGGGGGACGGAAGGGGGGGGCGTAAATAACGTAACGCCCCCCCCCCTGCCAGACTGTAGTGCCAGACGTACTGCGGCATTGCCGGGGACGCACTGAGGGGGGAGCATTGCGTGAACGGGGGGAGGGGGGAGGGGGGGGCATGACGCGCAGTATGGCCCAGAGGTATGTTTTATGATAGATCTGTATACAAGTATTTCATATGTATAAAGAAAACAAGACAATTCGAGGAGGGGGTAAGCAGCAAAAGAAGAAGGCATCGCGGGACGACGTGCCGCGGGGCTTTGTCAGCATCGGGCACCCCGCGCGGAGTGATCTGGAGCGCGCCGCAGGGTCGCCCTGGCCCTGGGGAGAGCGCGGCTGCGGCACGGAGGAGGGCGGCATGGGGGCGAGCCCACCTGCCATCCTCGCGTCGTGCAACAACCAAAAAAACAAACACGACGAGAGCCTTTGGCCAATCTGCGGCCTCCGCGGCATCTCGCAGGGCCCCAAAACCGTCACACATCGACTCGGGATCAAAAGCCATTGTCGTCGTCTCGTGGTCTTCGTCTTCGTCGTCGTCATGGTCGTGGTGGTCGTCGTCGTCGTCGTCGTCGTCGTCGTCGTCGTCGTCGTCGTCGTCGTCGTCGTCAGGGTCGGCGGCACCGGCCGCCAGGTCTTCGCAAGAGACTCACAGGGTGAAGAGCCAGCCCCTGAGCGAAAGGGTCCAGGCCTACGGAGGGGGGCACCTCGTGAAAGAGCATCACGTCGGAGATCTGGGAAGGGCGAAGGTCGATTCTCGATCCTCGATCGGGTGGGGAGCGCGCAGAAATAGTCCAGCGACCTTGATGCTTCAACCACCGTTTGTTCCTCGATTTCGGTCCCGGGGCCCGTCTTCAGGCCCTGGGGCCCTGGGGGAGCGGTCGGGACCTCTGGCGGGGGACAACGATAGAGGGGACTGGCAAAGGGGGGGCACATCGACCTGGAATCGGCGATACATCGCCGATAGATCGGCGATAGGGCTGCGATAGTGAATCCGCACTTTCCTGGGCAGGTTGGTGGTATCCGGCCCCTATCGGCGAACAATGGGCGATTGGGGATCGATGCATCCCCCCCTATGCCTATCCCCCCCCATCGTTGCCCCTTGATCTGGGGCCGCGGGTTGAAAAAAGACAGATCGGCGGATGCCAGGGGGGGCGACGATCGATCCTCGATCCTCGACCAGGGGGGGGGGACAGAGCGGCGGATGTCGGGGGGGGGGGCGACGATCGATCCTAGATCCTGGATCCTCGATTGGGGGTGGGGGCGGCATGGCGGCCTCCTCGCCCGCGTGCGTCACCCCCCACCCAGTACAGCGCTTCGTGGCCCAATAGGGAGCTCCACCGAAGGTCCCAGTGCTACCGCCCGCATGCGTTCCCCCCACCCAGTACAGCGCTTCGTGGCCCGTTAGGGAGCTCCACCGAAGGTCCCAGCGCTACCGCCCGCATGCGTCCCCTCCACCCAGTACAGCGCTTCGTGGCCCAATGGGGAGCTCCACCGAAGGCCCCAGTGCTACCGCCCGCATGCGTTCCCCCCCACCCGGTGCAGCGCTTCGTTGCACTCACAACTGCACATGGTTGGGTCCTTCGCCCGGGTAATTGTCCGTACTTCTGGCGACAAGGTTCCTACCTGCCACGCTCACCAGGCTCAGTGTCGTGTGTATTGCGCCTAGGACTACATTCTCTACATTGCTGCTTTTCTCCGCCACACGAATGCTACGATCATAGCCATCGAAGTGCGCCTGACGTCAACAGAAAGCAGCAGCAGCAGCAGCAGCAGCAGGAGCAGGAGCAGGAGGAGGAGGAGGAGAAGAAGAATACGGAGGAGGACGAGGAGGAGGAGGAAGAAGGAGGGAGGGAGGGAGGAGCAGGAGGAGGAGCAGGAGCAGGAGGGAGCAGGAGCAGGAGGGAGCAGGAAGGGGGGGGAAGGGAGGCCCCCCCCCCCCCCCCCCCCGCAGGAAGGCCCCCCCGCAGGGGGGGGGATGGGCGGCCCCCGCCCCCCCCCCCCCCCGCAGGCCCCGGCCTCCAGGCGCCACAGGCACGCGTCCTTGGCGCGCAGCAGCCTCTCCATCGTCGCGTAGCGCCTCGGCGCGGACGCCCCCCCCGGGCGCGGCGGCGCCGAGGGCCCGCCGCCGGGGCCCGCGCGGGGCGCCTCGGCCGCCAAGGGGCCGTCCGTCGGGGCCGTCCGTCGGCGGCCGTTCCGAGGAGCAAAAAGTACGCCCTAACCCCTGGAGAGGGGGCCCAAGTTGGGACCCCTGTCCCTCCGGGAGGGGGCCCAACACGCTGGGAGGGGAGCTACCTTGGGGAGGGGACCTCTGGGAGGGGACCTGAGTTAGGGCTCCTACCCCTTCGGCAGGGGACCTAAGACTTTGGGAGGGGAGCCGCCTTTGGGAGGGGACCACCGTTGGGAGGGGACCTAAGTTAGGACCCCAGAAAAAGACCCCCCCGATCCCTCATGTGTTTGGTCCTCCGAACTTGGGAGGGCCGAAAGCACGAGGGATGGGGAGTCTTTTTTCTGCAGCTGTATCAGGCCGAACCGCCCAGATGCATGATCCCCAATGCGAAGACGGGGACCTAAGCGAGGTCACGTCTTCATCGTGTCATTCTGGTTCGGGGTTAGTTTGTTCTCGATGACTTTCGGGGCCCCCACAACCGTCGGACACCAAGGAGGATCCCTCGGAACACATTTGCACTTCATCGGGGCACCACTGAAGAGCGGTCGGGGCACAGTCACGGGGCAGCCAAAAAGCAGACGAAGCACGGTCGGGACACCCTCGGGGGACACCACGACTGGGCACATTGGCGCACCCCACACCGCCGCTGCTCCAGAGGAGCAGGAGTAGCAGGAACCCACTGACGCCACGGGCGCTCATGTTCGCCAACTGGCTTGCCTGAAAAAAAGAAAAAGGAGCCTGTCCCCGTCCAGAATCGGGCCAAGCCACGGCTCACACTCGCGTGACATCGCCGTCGCCCGCCCACCCACACGTGGACTGGTCTCGCCCAGGCCTCTGGTGCCAACCGGCCTCTGGCGTGCGAGCCTTTGCTGCACGTCCACTTCCTCCTCCTCCTCCTCCTCCTCCTCCTCCTCCTCCTCCCCCTCATCCTCCTCCTCCTCTTCCTCCTCCTCCTCCTCCTCCTCCTCGAAAACGTTGTTGGCAGAACGCCCCAAAACCCACCTCCTGAACCTACCCCCGCCCAAGTGATATTCCACTTCCTCCCAAACATCCGATGTCACGATCTTTCCGTGACGTCGGCTCCCAAACCTCGACACCCCCTTCTGGGGACCCGTTTTGCTTTTCGGGGCCCCAAACCGTACAGTGACGGACGGCGTGGTGACCCCACACGGTCCGTCACCGCACGGTTTTGGAACATCGGAGGCCCCAGTCGCCCGAGAAGTCCTCGGAGAACGACCCGAGTCCCAGAACAGCGCGGCGACCCCGAATCCTCACTGACTCACCACACGGTATGGTCACCACACCGTTTGGGGGGTCCTGATTTGCTCATCACACGTTCCAGGACCCCTGGAGTATCTGGGGTCCCTCGTATCTGCAGGAGGCCGTCTATCTTCAGACTCTGCCAAGTCTACTTGCATGGAGGGGGGGGGGATGGGGTGGGGGGCGTGGCGAGGCCCGAAAAGAAATCTGGACTTCACGCAAGTGGGGACGCACTTGCACGCCTCTTCGGCCCAGCGCTGTCCGAAAACGCGGCGGCGGAGGGGGGGGGATGCCATGCAAGCAAACTTGCCGGAGCCGAAAGGAAAACATCCGCCAGCCCGCGTGGAGCACACGGAAATCTAGGAAATCTTGAACAACTGGGAATTCTTGGATGATGAAAGAACAACACACGCTCAACCTATAGGTAGGAGGAATGGGGCAGGGAACGGAGATGAAGGCGCTATAGGTATGGGTGCGGATCCTCGTACCCCGAGGGGGGCTCCCGCTCGAGCGGGGTCCCCCATCTGACAACACACACACACACACACCCATAGCCTCCCACGGAAATCCACCCCGAAGATATCTGGAGGTCGCACAGGTATGGGTGCTGGCTTTCAGCTCCTGATCGGAAACGTACCATTGCCATGACCTCATGACCCTGAGCCCAGATCCCACTGGAGGGCGGCCGCGGCCGAGGGGCGGATAGACCACGCAGGACCCAGGGTCGAGGGTCGAAGTCGCCAGACCTCGGAGACCTGGAGCCTCATGAGCCTGCCTTTTTTCCGTTCCGCGGTAAAACCGGGCGCGATCGGGGGGGAGGGGGTGGGGGGAGCTCGTCCTCCCCCGATCACACCACCGCGAGGGGCCGCTAGACGCCTCAGATCCTCGAAGAATCCGCGGGACAAACTTGCAAACGTGGGCAAGATAGCGTGGCGTCATCCAGGGGGGAGGGAGGGGGGAGGGGGAGGGCCGATCACGGCCGTCATCGCCCAGATGACCCACAACGAGAAAAACATGATCCTTCTGAGAAATTTTGCAAGCCTTCCACGAACACACAGGAACACTCCTCAGAAGGCGCGGGGGTTCCCGGGGAACCCCGCCGCCTTCTCGCTTCGCCCCGGGGCTCGCCGCCGAAGGTCCCCCTTCCCGCCGGGAAGAGCAAGATCACGCGGCGGACGGTCTGGGGCCCTTCTGGGGGGGGCCTCCTGGAACCGTCCAGTCGGCAGCGGCCAAGAGGGGGTGTCCAAGAGGGGGGGGTGCAAATCGTGACCGGCGGCATGTGCGCGGCCCAGCGGGGGGGCCAGGGACGTAATGAAATAAGAAGAGGCGCCAGAAGATCTGGGGAAATATCATGGCCCCCGCCATGATATCCACCCCCCCCTAGTCATCACCCCCCTCTTTTCCGCCCCCGATCTAGAGGCGGCGCGGGATGAGGAGCCGGTCCCAGGGAAAAAAAAGGCCCAGGCCCCCACGGGCCCCCGGAGCGAAAGCAAGAGCACGGCGCCGGAGGTCAGGAGCAGGAGCGAGGAGCGAGGGTCGAGGTCCGGGGTCGAGGGCGGAGGGCCTGGGGCGTTCGGGGGGGCTGTGCTGTCTGTCCCTTCCCCCCCTTCTCTTTCTCTCTCGCTCTTTCTCTGTCGCTCTGTCGCTCTCTCTCTCTTTCTCTCGCTCGCTCTCTCGCTCTCTCGCTCTGTCTCTTTCTCTCTCTCTCTCTCTCTCCTTCTCTCTGCACTGTACCCCATTTTTTCCCAAGCATATCGTTTGCACCTTGGAGATCTTACGTGCGTTTCCGAAGAATTCGGCGGATGTCCCGAGGATTTGCCACGTCTTGGCATGTAGCCGCCCCATTGCCGGCCGCTGCCGCCTGCGGCGGTGTCCCGGAGATCCGCCGTGGGTGTCCGAGGGACTCTCCACGTTCTGGCCCGTTGCTGCCCGTTGCTGCCCGTGGGTGGGGTCCCGAAGACTCGCCACGTTCCAGCCCGTGGCCGCCCGTTGCCTCCGCTGCCGCCCGTGAAGGCTCTTGCAGGATATAGCTTGCACCGCACAGCTTGCGAGGCGTAGCTCACACGACATGGCTTGCACAACCCAGCCTGCACCGCGCAGCTCACACCTTGTAGCTTATACAGCACAGCTGGTACCACGTAGCTCACACCGCACAGTTTACACCGCATTGCTTTCACCGCATAACTGTCACCGCATAGCTCACACCACATAGCTGTGACCTTCATACGGCACTAACTCGCGCTTCGGGGTCCACGCTGGTTCCCACACACACATAGATGCAGGCATACATAGATACATGCATTCATACATACAAACACCCATACACGAATGCATGCATACATACATACATACATGTGCATACATACATACATACATACATACATACATACATACATACATACATCGCCAACCCCGCTCTATCTCCAGGCCAGCATCTCGACAGTGCCTGTTCGCAAACGTTGTCCAGCCAGAGTGCACCATCCATCCGCGTCGAACAGAGACGCGGGAGGCCAGGACAAACAACAGCGACCTCCTGCGACAGACGGAGCATCTCTTTACAAGGCTCAAGGGTGGGTAGGCAGGGTTGAGCCCAAAAACCCACGGAAACGATCTAACATCGACGGCCTGGACACGTGACGGGATGAGGAAAGACATGCACGCATAGGATATCCTCGACCCCGCTCTATTTCCAGGCCAGCATCTCGACAGTGTCTGTTCGCAAACGCTGCCCAGCCAAAGTGCACCATCCATCCGCGTCGAGCAGAGACGCGGGAGGCCAGGACAAACAACAGCGACCTCGAAACATCTCTCCGAAGATCTAACTGGCCCTAGGCCGCCAATCGCACCAAGGCTTGGTGCGTGGATGGCAATCTAGCTTCACGATAGGCTCTGGCAAGGGCGCTGGACAAGCTGGGCGGGCATGGCTCGGCAATTTTGGCCCAGAAAACTCCGAAGGCGTCTTGCCTTCCAGAGCTCGGTGTGGACGGTGCGTGAAAGAACAAAGGCCACGCCCTGTACACTTGCAAGAGCTGATCGAGTCAAAATTGAGATGAGCATATATCACACGGGTTCTCTTCCCCCAAGCTGTGCCGAAGGCGCAGAAATCAAACTCCACAGTCTTAACCCCTGGCTGGCGTGCAGCATGCTGGGCCCAGCGGGTCTGCCAGACCCTTGAGGTGGAAGGGTTCTCGATTGCTGCGGGGACTCCGCGCCTGGCACATTCCAAAAAAAAGGCTGAAAGAGAACTGCGAAAACCTGTTACCCGTCTCGACTTTGAGGGGGTCAGACGACGACAGGTGGGGCAGGCCAAGCACGTGGGCGGCGTCCCGCAGGGGTGGTGGCCCGTTGGGTCGATTCCGTGCCCGTGACCACGAGCTGCAGGGCATCCCAAGCCAGACGCCCTGCAGCAGGCCACCACGGAGCCACCCGCGCACCGCGCGCTAGGCTCGCCGTCGGCTGAGGTCACCGCGGGCGGGCCCATGGTCCACGTCCAGCTCGAAGACCCGCGGCGCCAGGCGAGAAGTCATGCTCCGCCGCAGCGCCCGGGACCAATTCCCGGAGCCACTGAAGACCTCCAGGTGCACCTTCGAGTCGGTCAGGTGGGCCCAGGAGCTCAGATTCTGCATAGGGCGCCTCCAATAGTCACGACG